TAATGGAGCTTAATAGAGCTTGTGCAGCAAGGTCTACAGCAGCAGATATGCAGGGTATCTGCATATGTATCTTGAGGACATCCAGGAAAACTTCACTGACCGTCTCCATCACCTGTATGTGCGCACACAGAAAGTAAAAGACTGCCTGGGACCAATATTCATGTCCAGTTCAGCTACACATATACCAACTTTGGTTTACACAGGTCAGTGTATGTGAAGCTGTGATTGTCTTTAACATCCCACAGGGCCGAGTGGTAGGGATAGTGCAGTGACCCCTGATGCCATGTAGAATGTTGAGGGGGGGTATAGGTAGGTCCCAATATTGAGTTCTCAATGGGCTGCAGAGGAAGGCAAGCCCAGGACTGTTGAACCTGCAGGTCCACCAGAATCTGCAGCATCGGTGTTTTCTGCCTGACAAGACTCATTATGTCCTGGTGCATCTCCCTCTCCTTTTCCTGCTGGGACTCCCAGACTTTTCTCCTCTCCACTCTTTCCTTCTCCAGGTTGCCCTCAATGTTCATCCTCCAGGCCCTGTGCTGACTGTCCAATGCAACATTGGCTTGCAGGATCTCATTGAACATGTCATCCCAAGTCCTCTTTTTTCTCCTTATCTGGCTCAGGCGTTCTCTGGGTGTGGAGGGAGAGACCCTGAAGGCCACAATGGCAGCAGCTGCAGATAAGACACACGGAGGTACCATTGTCAGTCTATTCACTACAGAAAACGAAAGTTAAGATGCGAAACTCACTCCCCTTGCTCCCTAACGTTTTAAGCACTATGTTCTTACTTCTGCTTGGGATTGCTTGTGCACCATGTCAGTCACAGTACCAGCCATGGTGAGTATGGCCTGCCAGAGGTGAGGGAAATGAGGGAATTGCTCGGTTGCATGAATCTAGCGGTATAGAGCATTGGCACTGAATACTGGCACTGTTTTCCACAGGCCAGGGTGATTTTAGCTGATATTTCTCTCCGGAGAGTAACAAAGGCAGAGAGAGCCCAGCTGCTGCGGGTGTCCCATATGCTGCTAGACCGTGTACTGCAATGGTGCAAGCCGAAGCGATCGCTGACTGACATGGGAAAGTGTCCTACCGCAGAGGAAGAAATAAGGCTGCCATCCCTGGGGACCTTTGGCAGAGGACTGCAGAGCGCCTCAAACCTCCATGAAAGTGTCATTGAGATGTCTCAGGAAGATTCAAGCGACATCCCTGTGCACATAAACAAACTGCTCCGCATGGTCCCTCCTGCCTCTGAAAAGCAGATCACCACCACCTGAATAAAATAAAATAGAGGGAGAATGACTGGGTGCTGGGTGCAGGAGAATATTGTATGCAGGAATGAGACCCAGGGGACAGAGAATATGGAGAGTAAGAGGAGACGGAGTAACAGGGATAGCAGAGAAAGACTATGTGAAGGGTAGGAGGCTTTGAGGAGGAACAAAGGTAAACATGGGGGCAAGTGAATGTAGAGGACAGGTGGAGGACAGGAGACTCATGAGGAGCATAGAAGGAGAATAAGAGAGTGGAAAGAGACTTGGGGCTGCATCCACAAAGAAATTTAGGCCCTTAACTGCCACTTTAGGTGCCAAAATCCAAAATTTAGATTCTCAACCCCTCTGCTCAGCTCACCTAAGTGTACGTAGGTGTAGGCCATGTCAGTCCCAGGATATTAGACAAGGTGGGTGAGATCATATCTTCTATTGGACCAACGTCTGTTAAATCATCCACTTTGCCTCACCCTGTTGGCACCTAAATTCCCTAGGTGCCTACATTTCTACCAGTAAAGTCCCCTTGGCGTCTAAATTTCTGCTGCTGGGCATGCCCAGAGCTGCCTAAGTCCTGACACCCGGCCCCAAGCTCACGCTGAAGCCCTGGCGTGAGCCTCATACTAAGGTGTGCAGTCCCCTGTCTCCCACATCCTGTGTGGGCGCTCTAACCACTGAGTTATAGCATATGGGGCGGGCACCAAATCCTCCTCCTCCAACTTGGTTTTGTTGTGTGAAAGGGCTGACGTGACTGGGGGTGACTAACTCTAGGGGATGAGGTTCATGGTTGTGAAACTCAAGCTGGGCTGGGGCGGGGGGGTGGGGTGTGGGCTCTGGGCTGGGGCCCGAGGGGTTTGGAGTGTGGGAGGGGGTCTCCGAGCTGAGCCTGGGGGTTGGGGTGCAGGATGGGGTGTGGGATGCAAGCTCTGGGAGTTTGGGTGCGGGAGGGGGCTCAGGGCTGGGGCAGGGGGTTGAGGTGTGGGAGGGGGTAAGGGGTGCGGGCTCTGGGATGGAGTTTGAGTGCAGGAGGGGGCTCCGGGCTGGGGTAGCGGGTTGGGGTGCAAGAGGAGGTGCAAGGTGCAGGCTCCAGCCAGGAGGCGCTTACCTCGGGCAGCTCCCAGGTGGCAGCGCAGCAAGGCTAAGGCAGGCTCCCTCCCTGCCTTGGCCCCGCTCCTAGAAGCGGCCGCCATGTCTGGCACCGAGGAATGGGGGCAGGGATCTGCATGCTGCCCGCACCCGCAAGTGCTGGCCTCGCAGTTCCCATTGGCCACGGTTCCCAGCCAATAGGAGCTGAGGAGTTGGTGCTTGGGGCGTTGTAGGACTCATGAATGAAATTGTTTTTAATTGTTTACTTTATTAATGTAACTTCATAAGTAAAGTTTTATGAATGAAACAATATTCATTCATAAAACCGGTTACCCCAATAACTGGCTAATTAACAGTTAAGATGCTTGTTAAGAGCCATAGATGTTCAGTCAGCTGCCTTTGTAAGTTTCACTATCAATCCAATTCCTGCTTAAATCACTGAGACTTGCAAACCCTGCTGTAATCTTATTAGTTTAGTTTAGATGTGTGAATGAGGTATGTATGGATGATGGAATCAACCTCCAGCCTCAGCCTGTCCTGATTAAATACAGTTCAAACACCAACGGCTGAAGATGCAGACAAGAGCCCTAACAAAGTAAGAAGAATCCACCCTAAAAAGAAAAGGTACAATAGAAGGAAGATCAAAGCCCGGTCCCAGGCTGAAAGTCATGTCTGCAATTGACTGGTGATCAATCACCAAACCCAGAGGCAGCGTGACACAGCAAGACCTATAGGCTCTGGATTCAAACTAAAGCCTACAAAAAGGATGGGTGAGATGGAAAACTGTGGAGGAGGGTAACATTCTGCTGCCAACATGGAAGGGCATCGGTGCATGCCCAACAGAGACCCAGCTCGTCCTTGTGCCCGACTTTCCTGGCCAGTTAGCCGCCACAAGCTACGAACCCAAGCTGCAAACTCAAGCCACAGACTCAAGCAGGACTGGTAACTATGCAGCAGCTGCAGAACATCTGATGGATATATATATATATATATATATATATATATATATATATATATATATATATAT